ATAGGAATAATACATTCAAATAGTTAATGTACTCAAAATTGAAATATCTAAATTTTAACAATAAGAAATAATCAAATGTATCTGTGAAATTAGGGTGTTAACCATAAAGTTAATGTTGAGACACCTTTGTTTGTTATTATCATTTTGTTGGAATGTTTTGCCGTATCGCTTGGCATGTGCTCGTTGTCATAAATCTTTAGATACAAACAAACTATCTGAGTAATCTGTTATCTTATTTAAGACTTTGCAGATTTTGATGATAATAATAAGCGAGCAGATCAGCACAGCATCATTTTTGATTACATTTCATAATAGTTAACGTAAGAGCTTCAATTGACTTTAACCTTATGAGTTAAATATAATAATTTTAGCATAGCGAAATAATGTGACAAAATCGGTTGTTTATTTAAACTATTTACAAAACAAAATGTAAACTAATGATATTCTTATATATATTTTGCGATAAGAGTGTATCAGACTTAAATTAACAAATTGTAGGCCCTCCAAGTTAAGTTTGGGTAACAGATGTGGGCAAACGTTTAGAGAGGGTTAATAGCACAAAATCAACTATCAGAACAAAAAGTTAAATTCGCTTATAATATTTAAAAGAATCTAAAAATCCATACATACAATTAGTGTATTTGTTTGAAATGAGTAATTTATATAATAAACAAACATTTTATACACTTATATTATTATGACCTTTTATAGGTATTACTATATTCAAGCTTAAGATACATCTTTTCATACTACGAATATCTCATATAAAATATTAAACATAAGTTCTTATTTTTATAATCATTTTAAAATATAAAAAATTTGAATGTTTAAAGATACTATCTTTTATATGTAAAATATAGAAATATATTTTTGTATATGTTATAATCCACTATCATCAAATGTTTCGAATTTTTCTATAGGTAGATTGTATATTGTGAATATTTATAATCAACTGCATCTTTAAGTTATAATAATTAGTATAAACCGAGTTTTTATAAGATTAGATTTGCCGAATAAGATTACTTCTTATTGTTCAAAGTATCATATTTGAGCCTATTGTTTTTTTCTTTCAAATATCTCGTAAGTTTCTAGGCTTTAATACCTTGTTCCATTCTACTTCTAGCACCGAGGCAACAGATTTATACTCAGTATTGCATGTTGATTATTCCATGTAGTACCGGTTTTATATTCCTAAATAAGAATTAGAGATTAATTTTGAAATGATTTACTGTTCTACTGTAACATTTTAGTTATACGTATCTTTTTTTTTCATCTTTTGTGGAGAAACAATAACTGTATTCTTAACAAAACATAACATGGTTTGTAAAATTGATCTCAATTAGTTGAATTGGATGTAGTTATATTTTTATGCAAATCTTATTATAACTTCAAAATCAAAACGTTATTGAAATATTTAATAAAATTAAAAATAATAATATTATTTAAAATTTTTTTGATTTACTTCTAACGAAAACTAAACTAACATTATATCAAAAAACGCTGCTAAATTATTACAAAAATTAAAGTTCTGCAGTATTTTTTTCCCAGAAATCGTTAAATCAGCTAAAGTTTTAGATTTATTTGTTCTTCTAAAACAAACTCTTATAATCCAACATTTTCTAAACATAATGGTTCTTCAGATCATACTGCATATGAATATTTTTATATAACTTGCAGCTTCTAATAGTTTGTTTTTAGATCATAGTACTACAATACTTCTTTTTTAGTCCATGGACGTTTTTATATATCTTTAAATTTCTTAGTAGTTTCATTTTTTTCAAAAAATGTAGTGTGACAATAGTTTTTTTAATAGTCTATGTCGAATTTTATACAGCTTTTATCGTCTTGGTACGATAAACTGCACTACGATCTGAATAGAATCATTTATCTATGTATCTTATTGGCTTGAAAGTCTTCGGATTGATTTTGGTTTTTAGATTTTTGGCTTTGGTTTAGATTTTCAGAATTTATAAACCTATTAGATTTTTTAGATTTTAGATCTTCGTTCATGTTGAGTGTTTTCCGAGTTAGTGCATCAAGGCACTCTTACTCTTTGATAGCTGGGGGGTTTCTGCATAGACCCACCCTTCTAACTGACTAATTTATGTATTCCTCAAAAGCCTCGTGATTATTCGATGACTGATCTAAGGTCTGCGTACCGCACTGTGCGGCTAGAGATTATTCTGAGATTAGATAGTGTTAAGTAGGGCAGCCTGTATTATTACTAATCACTATATTTATTTAGTATCGCATTTTAACATTAAAAATACTTGTAAAAAGAT